CTTCCCTCCTCTTGAATTTTTTGGAAGTTTGAGAAGGATAGATGTTAATTCTTTGAATGCTTGACACAATTCCCCTATGAAGACATTCACTCTAGGACTTTTGTTTGTTGGAAGTTTTTTGATTACTGATTCGATTGTGTTACTAGTAATTGGTCTGTTTAGATTTTCTGTTTATTCTTGATTCAATTTTGGAAGATTGTATATTTCTAGGAATTTATCCATTTCTTCCAGATTGTTGAATTTGTTGGCATATAATTGTCCATAGTATTTTCTTATAATACTTTGTATTTCTGTGGTGTCAATTGTCACTTCTCCTCTTTCACTTTTTTTTTGAAAGATTTTATTGAGGAATTGGGGGAGGGGGACAATGTTGGGGAATCGGAGAAGGGGAACAGACAAGCTGCTGTCCTTTTGTTCTTCAGTCTAGTTGTGGAGAATGTTGCTTCACTGGCCAATGTTGGTATAATCATTGCACTCTTCCCGGGTGAGGCAGTTGCTCACTGGCCATTGGACGGCTGCTCATGGTGGCTCATAGCAGCTCATGCCGACTGTGGGTCACTCACACTGGCTGCCAGCCACTCACAGTAGCTCATGGCAGCCCACTGCATTGCAGCAGGGGCTGCAGCCTACACCATCACCTGGGACTCATGGGAGCCCATCTCCAGGTTGAGCTGTTGTTCACCATCTTAGCTGTAGAGGGCGCAGCGTCACTGGCCCTCATGTGGGATCCAAACTGTGACCCTGCTGCTCAGAGCTGGTGTCCCAAGCCAACTTTTAACCAATGCACCACTCAGCCGGCCCTCCTCTTTCACTTTTGATTTGATTTTTTTGGGGTTCTCTCTCTCTCTCTCTCTCTCTCTCTCTCTCTCTCTCTCTCACCCCCCCCTTCATGAATCTGATTAAAGGCTTATCGGTTTTGTTTATCTTTCCAAAGAACCAGCTAAAAATATCAATTAAATTTACCTGGTCTAATGTGTCATTTAGGGCACTATTTTATTGTTGATTTTCTGTGTGGAAAGTTTATCCATTAATGTTAATAGGGTGTTAAATTCCCCTACTATGACTATCTTACTGTTGATCTCTCCCTTTATGTCCTTCAATACTTGCTTTATATATTTAGATGCTCCTATGTTGGGTGTATAAATGTTTATAATGGCTATATCCTTTTTTTGGATTGATCTTTATCATTATGAAACATCCCACTTTGTCTTTTATTATAGACTTTGTTTTAAAGACTATTATGTCTGAAATAAGTATTGCTATCCAGCTTTTATTTTCATTTTCATGAAATATCTTTTTCCATCCGTTTACATTCAGTCTCTGTGTGTCTTTTGATCTGAAGTGTGTCTTTTGTAGACAGCATATGTATGGCCTTTCTTTTCCATTCGGCTACCCTATGTCTTTGATTAGAACATTTAACCCATTTACATTAAAGTGATCATTTATTGATAGGCACTTAGTTATTGCCATTTCATTCTTCATAGTTATGTTCTTCCCTCCCGCCCCTTTCTTCTTAAAGAAGTCCCTTTAATATTTCTTGTAATACTGGTTTAATGTTGGTGAACTTTAACTTTTTCTTGTCTAGGAAGTTCTTCATCTCTCCTTCAATTCTAAATGATAGCCTTGCTGGGTAGAATAATCATGATTGTAGGTCCTTGCTTTTCATCACTTTCAATATTTTGTACCAATCCCTTCTGGCCTTCAAAGCTTCTGTTGAGAAATCAGCTGACAATCTTATGAGAGCTCCCTTATAATTTACTATTGGGTTGTCAGAAAAGTCATGACATATTTTTTCTATGTTTTCCATTGCAAAAATGTGTCATGACTTTTCCGACAACCCAATAGTTGCCTTGCTCTTGCTCCCTTTAGGATTCTCTTTGTCATTAACCTTTGGCATTTTAACCATGATGTGTCTTAGTGTGAGCCTATTTGTGTTTATCTTGTTTGGGACTCTCTGCCCTTCCTGGACTTTAATATCTACTTCCTTCATCAGCTTAGGGAAGTTTTCAGTCATTTCTTCAAATAGGGTTTTCAACTCCTTGCTCTCTGTCTTCCCCTCTTGTACCCCTATGGCGCGAATGTTGTTATGCTTGATGTTTTTCCAGAGGTCCCTTAAACTATCCTCATTTTTTACATTCTTTTTTCATTTTGCTGTTCCAGTTAAGTGTTTTTTGCTACCTTGTCTTCAAAATCGCTGATTCAATCCTCTGCTTAATCTAATCTAATCTGCTATTGATTCCTTCTATTCTTCATTTCGCTTATTGTATTCTTCATTTCTGACTGATTCTTTTTTTATGGTATCTATAATACGTCACCTTTTATGCTTACTATCTCATTGTTGAAGTTCTCACTAAGTTCCTTGAGCAGTCTATAACCACTTTTGAAGTCTGCATCTGGTAGGTTGTTTGGCTCTGTTTTGTTTAGTTTTTTTTTTTCCTGGACTTTTGTTTCTTCCATTTGGGACATGTTTCTTTGTCTCATTTTGGCTGCTTCTCTGTGTTTGTTTCTATGTATAAGGTAGACCTGCCAGTCTTGGCAGGGTGGCCTTATATAGTAGGTGTCTTGTGGGACCCATGGATCAATCTTCCTGATCACCTGAGCTGAGTGCTCCAGGAGTATCCCTGTGTGGGTTGTGTGTGCCTTCCTGTTATAGTTGAGCCTTGATTGCTTTTAGCACATCAATGGGTGGGATTGACCTTCAGGTTGACTGGCTGTCAGGATTGACCATGACCACATCATATGAGCTACTTTAGAGGGCTGACCCTAAGGAATGGGATTCTCCCCAATGGGCTCTGGTGTCTGCTGAGACCACCCTATGGTTGTGCTGATTGTGTTGCTAATTGGGTGGTTCTCTGTTGTGGTCTGACAGTGGCCACCAAGTGTATTGGTTTGGGGGCCTCCTGAGTGGGGCTCCCATGCAGGTTAAGGTCAGCTGCTGCCAGTATGACCAAGCCGGGGCTATCATGTAGGAGCTACAAGGCGATCTGCAGTTGATTGCTGCCTATGCTGGACCTGGGAGGTTTATGGGAGTGGCCATGCTGTGAACTGAGGCCAGCGACCACCAGTACCAGGCCTGAAGCAGCTCAGCAAAATGCCCAGGACACCCTGTGACCTGCCCTTATCTGCCTGCAGCCCATAGGCTCAGCTACTGAAAGGGCCTCTGGCAGTACTTGAGTTGTATGAGGCAGGGCCTCAGGGAGTCACCATGGTGGGGTGATTGGTGTTCACTAGGTTAATTCAGATTTAGATTTGGTGCCAGTGCTGAGCCTGGGGCCACTCAGCAAAAGGTACAGAGCACACCAAGGCCAGCCACCACCCACCTGGGGCCTGTGGACCCCTGAGAGGTGTCCAAGAAAGACTGTTGTGCAGGCCAACCTTGGCTGCTCACCACTGAAAGAGCCTCAGAAATTCTTTGAGTTGGGTAGGGCAGGGACCCAGGGAGTTACCAGGGTGGAAAGAGCAGAGTTCACCAGGCCAATGCAGATTCAGATTTGGCTGTGCTGAGAGAGAACTCAACACAGGGACAATGGAGTCTACTATCCCTCCAGCCCTCGCCTTGAAGCCACACAACTCAGTCTCTTCCTGTATGTGTCTGGTGCTTCCTGAGCTGAGGTCCCTCTGCAAGACACCAGGGTGTGTGCCTGGGAGTGAGAGTCTGTGTGTGGGCCCTTTAAGAGGATGCCTTGGTTTTCCAGCAGCCTTCTGTCTCACCCAGACAGACGAAATCCCTGGTGATTTTCAGAGTGATATGTGTGGGGGCTCCTCTTCCCAGCACTGGTGCTCTGGGCTGTGGATCCCAGTGTGAGGCTGGGACCCCTTACTCCTCAGGGGGACCTCTGAAGCTGACATATCCCTCCAGAGTCTCAACTGCCACACATGGGTGTGGGGCCAGCCCACTTTGCTTCTCTCCTGCCAGTCTCTATGTGGCTGCTTCTTTATATCCTTAGTTATAGGGCTTCTGTTCAGCTAGTCTTCAGATGGTTCTCCATGTTGATTGTTCTGGAATTTAGTTGTAATTTTAACATGGTCATGGGAGGAGGCAAGCACAGTGTTCACCTACTGCATCTTGACTGGGCCCTCTTTTTCCCTCCATTTAAAATTCCACAGGAATCTGGACCAAGAGAAATGCTTTGAAAAGAGCACAAGTTTGGGTATTTATTTATTTTAGGTAGAAATAGTTAGTATTCACTAATTGAGAATGGTTAGTTATACTACATTCATTGTAGAAAATAAAATGTAATCAAATTCATGATGCAGGATGCTTTTCCACCCAGGAGAAAAATCTCCAAGCCCAAGGAGAAATCTATATTAAAGTGTTGAGTAAGGGAAACAGGATTCTTCAAAGGGAATTGAGAAGAAGATGGAAAAGTGAGAGACAGGGGTGTCATAGAGATCAAGAAAGGAGGGTCTGAATATGGATAGAGAGAGATTCATGAGTGCCCTTTGGACTTACAAATTAGGAGGTTACTGATAACCTGTGCATATGTGGTAGTCTTATGAGTGTTTATTCAAGACATAGACTAAGCAGACTTCTGACTTGTGGAATAGAAAAATATGGAACCTGAAAAGGTTATTTGTGTGTTGTTTGACCACGATATTCCTTATCCACAGAGTTATCTTCCAGGAGTGGTGGTCATATCAGCCTTCTTGGTCATTGGTCCTTGGTCAAAACTTTTATTGAAACTGATTACAGAAGATGATTTGCTGGGATTAGGGATTCATTGATGTCTTCAGGTTTTCTGCCACTGAAGACAACTAGTCTTGTGGTTGCCACAAAATATTTGACCTTTTCCTCTTTGTCAAATTCATAGCCAAGTTGGTAATACCTTAAGTCACTTAATTCCTAAATGTTATAAAGCAGTAATATTAAAATCTCAGAATAGAAATCATATGATAATTTCCAAATAACTTGTGTTTAGCATTTTAAAAAATTAGTTAAGTCATCATTAGCTTTTCTTTGAAAGACTTTGAAAAGGTAAATCGATTTTCTCTTCTCATAGCATATGACGAATAGATAACTGAAATAATAGATCTTCCAGAGAGAGAAGAAGGAAGTTTCTTTAACGGTAAGGTTTCAAATTATATTGCATGAATTTCCCTCCCTCCTATTAGCAACTTTGCAGAAATGTAATCAGAATTATTTAGAAAGTAAGTGGAAATCAAACCTGTAAAATAAACAGGTTTTCATTGACTGAAAACGTGTAATAGAAGGATGCAGAAAATGGAGATATAACAGCCCTTCAGTCAGGCTGCCTTAGTTGATATCTGGGCTTCATTTACTGTGTACTGTGTCATATCAGCCAACTAACTTAATCTGTCCCTTAGTTTACTCAATTGTTAGTATTATCTAACAATAGTAACTAAATCATTGAGATTTTAGAGGTAAAATCTTTAGGGTTGTTTCTGACACTCAGTGAGTGTCCATTGCTACTGGTCTAGTCACAGAATTTCATGACTTGAAGGTATATAAAGGTCGTTCTGCCCAGCCCCTTATTCAGTGCTAGAACCCTCTTAACGTCTCCGGCGTGTTGGATGATGAACAGCTAGGTACTGTCACTTGGATTAAAACATTTACTAATTTGGGTGGCTCCTCCTCCCTAGCCTGGCCGCTGTGGTGATGAGGCCGGAGGCCTGGCCCCGTTGAATGGCCGTGGGGCCGCCACTGCTGCTGAGGGGGACGGAGGCTGGGGAGGCTGCGGAGGCTGAGGCTGAGATCTGGCAGCAGGGGTCCGCGCCCAGGGCCCAGGCCTGGCCTCTGAAGCTGCCGTGGAGCCCACGGGAGCCCCCGAAGCGTGGCCACGGCGCGGCCTCTGCCATGGCCCGGCCCCTGCAGATGCAGGTCCTGAACTTCCACAACAACTTGGGTGGCCCGGGGCCCTTCTCCCCCCCACCCCTGTGCTCATCTTCTCTTGCCCCCATCACCCCCCTGGGGCCTGAGAGTGGCAGGTCCGAAGTGAGGGGTGCAGACCCAGGGTCTCTGAGGATAGGAAGAGAGGTTTCTGGGCTCGCAGAAGCCTGTGTGTATAGAAGTTTTGCTTTTAAACGAATGAGGATATGAGAGGCAGTGGGACTGGGGTTGGAACCCGGGGGAGCGGAGCAGGCAGGGGAGCTGCTGCCCTTCCATCTCTCCTCCATCCTCACCCTGCCCCATGGCAGGGCACCCAGTCCCCGACCCCCAGTACTGACTTTTTAAAATGTTTTTTAGCTAATGCAATATTGAAGTATAAGATTCCTTTTATTTTTCAAACCAACGGGACTGTGATATCGGTCCCGGGAGCCGTGGAAGGCAGGGTGGTGGGTGGGGGTGGGGTGGGCAGGCTGAATGCGTGCTGGCCTGTGGAGTGTGGGCGCGTGTTTCTGAGGTGGGGCCCCAGGCCCAGCCACCCACTGCTGGGACACCCGTGGGTCTGGCCAGCTCCCCCCACAGGGCTACATTTGAAGGGTGTCCCTGGTCTTGGCCTGCTGGCAGAGCCCAGCTCCTGGGGATGGGGCAGGGCCCACCTCATTGTTAGCAGTTGTTTGCAGAATTTTCTTTCTAACCATTCCTCTCCTAACCTTGCCCAGCGTGAGTGTTTTTTTGTTTTGTTTTGTTTTGTTTTAGTTTTACATGTGAACTAGAGGGTTCTGTTTTTCCTCCCCATCCCCCCATGCTGGGTGGCATTTGATGTTTTGGTCTCCGGCCCTTGTCCAAACCCTCTGGTGTCCTCCCCAAGTCTGACGGCATTCCGGAGGCAGTGGGGGCCTCTGCAGTGGACCCTTGAAATCTGACTTGGAGGCCTCCCACCAGCCTGGCATCTGCTTGTTGTGGGGACAGGGGTGTTGGGTCTGGCTGGGGTCCCTGCACTCCTCTTTCTGGCCTGAATGTGGAGCAGGGGTTAGGGTTTTGGGGAAGTCAACACCCCCAGCTAAAGCACAAGAACCTTAGTCCCACCTGCACCACCCCCTTGAAACCCCATCCAGCATCATCCCGAAGCACAATGTCCTGGTCACTTGGGGGCCCCTGGGCCTCAGAGGGGTGGGCTGGGGCTCCAGCCAGCCCCCAAAGGAAGCAGGAGTCCCCAGGCCCTCCCTGTGTCAGGCCTTGGGTGGGGGGCAGCTCCTGGCATTGGGGTCCTCTCCCTCCCCACCCGATGTCCTGGGCAGCCTCTCCCTACCTTGTCCTCAGGCAGGATTTGCCCTTGTCCTTCCTCCACACTCTTGCAGCCCAGGGTTGGGTGGCAGAGATCCTTTGTTTCAGGGACCCCAGGAGGTGCCCCTGGCTCCAGGGACTGTATGTGTTGGTTTGGGGTGGGGTGTGGAGAGGGGCCAGGCCACGTGCAGAGGAGGAAATTCCTCACCCGGAGAGTCAAAGGGAAGCCACCCCTGTACCGCTGTGCTCCACCCGCCCCGCCCTGCCCCCGGGGTGGCCTTCTGCTTTTCCTTCTCGCCCCTTTGCCCTGCCGCGCTCTGGGCTGTATGGTTTCCCACCACACCAGGCAGGCAGGAAGGAGCATGAGTGGAGAATCACTGACCAATGCAAAAAAAGACTGCAGGGGTCCCCTCACCTCGCCTGGCTGCCCCATTCCTGCAGAACAGGCCACCTGCTGTGTCTGTGTGTAGTGCCAACACAGGCCCAGCTCCAGGCCAAGCCCCCCACCTGCCACCTGCCCTGTAAGCGAGATTACACATCATGTACCATAAGGAGAGGAGCACACTGGGAAATGTGAACACGAGAATAACTAAACACCTTTGTAGCAACAATTACTAACTAGGCTTTTTGTGTGTGTATGTGCATGTGCTCGCATGGGCTTGACTTACTACAAGGTAGACACAAGGCAGACTTTTATTGCCACCTCCTCCGCCCACCTATACACACAGGGAGCCCGTAGCTAGAGGCGTGTGTGAGAACTCACTGCTCCTGAAGTCTTCAGTGCAGGTTAATAGGGAGGGAGGGAAGGAGGATGCAGGTGTCTCCCAGAAACCTACAGGGCCCCTAGAGTCTAGAACCATCTCCAGGGGAAGAGAGAACACATACCAGTTTACGAGATCAGTGAAACTAGGGTGACCATATTGAAACTATTTTGAGAGTGAAAGGAGGGTACTATTCATAATTATGCTATGAGAACAGGTGTAAACCAGGACTACCTTGGGGAGTGGAGAATGTATAGATAGTCATGCTGGTTACACCCACTGTCCTGCGGGAAATGTGCATATTTTCTGTTGTTGGGAGGATTCGGTATATATAAACTTTTTGGATGGCAATCTGATAAACAGTATCTTTTACTGTCATTTTTTTGGTAGTTTTTGACCTGATAATTCTGTTATTAGAGATTTTCCTTCCCATATAGAAATACTCCACAAGTCACCCAAATTATGTATATTAGTTAAACGATATGAAATTTCCAGTTTGTCTATTTATGACATACTAAACGGGCAATTTCATATGGTTCAAACTAATGAAATAACCCAGAGTTGATCTAGGTTTTGTGGGGCCTGAAGCTTATGGGATTTTGGAACCCTCTTTAAATTAAAAAAAAAAAATTTCCTTTTGTAATTTTACAAAAATATTTGATTCTGATAACATATTTTCGGGGCCTTGAAAGGGCTTGGCAAATGAGGGCTCCTAAAGCTTAAGCTACACCACACACATACATTCCATTAAATATTTTAAAAATGAGAACGTACACATTCTTGACTAGACTTGAATAAGAGTGGAACTGTCCTATACTACATTTGGGGTGTAAATTAGTACAAAATTTCTCAAAATCAATATGCTAATAGGAATGAAGAGACTTAACTTTTTTTCATTTTGTATCCCAATAATGTGACTTTTGGGAATTTATCCTTTGAGAATAATCTGAATAGTTTCATTTTTTAACATTTAGCTCTGTGATCCATTTGGAATTAGTCATGGTATATAATGAGATTCAGCTCCAATTTTCTTTTTCAAAATGGTTATTCAGTTGTCCCAACACAGTTTATTTTAAAATACCATCTTTATGCCAGTTATATGAAATGTAATCTTTTTCATAGAGTACATCTCATAGTTGAGTATATTTTTGTATACTCTATTCACTGCCATTGGTTTATCTGACTAATCATTCCCTAATACCATAATTGTTAAATTATGGAGAATATATAAATTATTTTAATATCTGCTAATGATATTAAATTATCACTTTTTTGTTCCCATTTGTCTTAATTTTAACTTTAAGCAGAATAAAAATTAGTTGTTAGTTCTAACTTGTGCCAATGTTGGAAATTTCAGAAAATTAAACATTTAGTCTGTGAAAAAGATAATAATTCTAGAACTTCAGAAGTACAGCATGCAAAGTAATTCATGAATTTACAATGATTTTATCTTGATTTGTTTTAACTTGGTTCTCCCCTCCCCTCCCCTCCCATCTGCCCCCTTCCCCTCCTTTCCCTTCTTTTGTCTTTCTTCCCCTTGCCCTCTTTCTTCTTTCTCTCTTTTTCTCTTCTTCTGTCTCTCTTTTCCCTCCCTCTCTCCTTCCCTCCTTCTTTCCTTTCCTTTTTTTTCAGATGCAGACTTACTAAAGAAGAACTTGATGATATTTGTAATTTAAAAACTTTTCTGTCTTCTCATGCTGCCTTGTTGTCCAGGTTTTGTGCCAGAGCATTTTCATTTTGAATCGAAAAGATATTGCTGGGGAGAAGTGTGATTGCAGAAGAGCATTCACCATTCGGTTGACTATAACAATCATATAAAGACATTTAAATACAGAATATAAAAGACACAATTTTAAATTCTTCTTGGTTAGATATTCTGTTAAAAATAAAACAGTGAAACATTTTTAAAATTAGACCTGATAGTCCAATCCGAAACAGACTTCTATAAGGCAGTATTTTGAAATCATACAATAAGGCATTAAAACATACTAGTATAAATTAAAGAATTAGTTATGGGTTCTTTTTTGTATGTAGTTAGTAAACTTGAAGAAAAGATAGTGAATTCTATTGAGGGGAAAAGGAATAGATGCAGGGTTGTGAGGAAACAGGACTGTGAGGAGAGAGAAATAAAGAGCTAGAAAGACTGATGTGAGGAAACGTCTGTTTGGGTGATGAGAAAACGGGATGAGAGAGAGTTTGAAGAGAGCAGCTGAGTTAAATTGAGTTTCCTGGGAAATGGGCTCCACAGCAGAGATTTGCCTGAAGCGGTTATTTGGGAACGCCCTTAGGAATAACACATGTAAGGGAGAAAGAGGAGCGGACTTGGGCAGAGGGGATAGTTGAATTGTCATATAATTGCAGCAGAGGCCTCAGTCAATCTTCTAGGGAGTTCTGGAACCTGGATGGCCGCCCTAACTGAGGCAAAGGGGCCTAAACCCCCATATCAATCATCATCAGGTGTGGGATGCTCTCCAAATGGAGGCTTAGCTTTGAGTGAGGTGGCTTCCTTTGGTTGAGGGCAATTCCCAAAGAGAGCCTGGCAGCTGGAGGAACACGTGCCTTGTTCCTGAATGGGAGGTTTGGGCAGCACACCATAGCGTCTACCACAGCAGCTGTCATTGCTTTGGGGGGAGTATTAGAATAGTGATGCTTGGAAGATAGGATTTCAAAATGTTCTACTACTCATTAAGGGTATACTTCTCCTCACCACTTCTGCATTTTCTTTATAGTCTAAGTAAATATTTAAATTTCTTTCAATTATGTCTTTCCATTGGTATTGAATTGATTTTTTTTTAATTGGCCCAGTGCAGAGATTGGGCCACATGTACCCAGCTTTATTTTCAGGTCAAATAAATTTTGGAATGGAATTGATTATGTTGGTGACTGAGAAGGGACAGATATGCAAACAGAAGATGGTAGATAATACTAGAAAAAGAACATAATTGAAAAAATGGGGTATCTTGGAGAAGTAGAAAAAGGTAGATCTAATGGGACGGAGAGTAGAGGAGTAGAAGGTTGTGGCCAGAAAGTATAATTTCCTCCTAGAACACTAAGAGATGGAACGGTTTAGATCAGGGATTGGCAAACTTTATCTATAAAGGGCCAGATAGTAAATATTTTAGGCTTTGGGGGCCTTATTGTCTACTCAACTTTGCTGTCATTGTGCAAAATCAGCCAGAGACAATATATTCATATAAATGAATATATATGGCTGTGTTCTAGTAAAATTTTATTTACAAAGTCATGCAGAGGGCCAGATTTGGTCTGTGAGCAATAGTTTCTTGACCTTTGGTTTAGGTGATGGAAAAGACCACTAAATGGCTAACCAGTGTTTGCCTAACTTGTTACAGTGATTTGCAACAATTTTTTAAAGATACCAAGTGAAAGAACCAAAAGAAGATACAAAGGGATAGCTAAATAAAAGTAGCCAGTATGTTACTCCTAATCCCACCACTTTTGTCACGTGGTTGCCTATGTCTCCCCAGCCTTTGGTTTCATGATTTACTAATTTTTTCATGCTTCATATTTGTTATAGCCTTCCTTGAAAACTACTCGGTTTTTTGAGATAGAAGCAATGATTAATCCAAGCAACATATGTCACCCTGATAAATGCAAATGGGTTTTGACAAATGTATCATTAGAAGTAGCTAATCTCATGATGAGAAATGTAACAGTAACCCCCAAAATAGATTAGACTTCTGAAATACACAGGGAACAAGGGAAGGAGTCTTTTCACTTAATTTGTGTGATTCTGGACAAATCTTTTACCTTCTATTCTTCGTTATGCAGCTGTCCAGTAAAACCACATTTGATACTTTTCCAGAATTTTGAAATCTACATGACATATTTGAAACTCATTTGAAAAGGATGTTCAATACCTTTTTTATTGGGTTGTCGGAAAAGTCATGACATATTTTTTTAATGTTTTTCGTTGCAAAAATGTGTCATGACTTTTAAGACAACCCAATAGAATAAGGCAGTATTTTCCACATCCAAGTTACTGCTCAGCCAAATCCACAAACAGGGATGTTATTAAGGAAACCTTCATTGTTGGACTGTAGGTGAGATGAGATGAGTGACCCCAACCATCATAATTGTACAACCAATAGAAATTTACTGCAGAATTTCATTTACTTTTATAATTTGAGTGCCCAAATAAAAAGAGAAGCCTTTATGTTTCTTAGCTGTCTTTTGGTAAACATATGCTATTGAATTATGTGTTGAGCATGCCAGAGGCTAATGAGTAAATTGTGACTGAAAATCGATGAAAAAGACTTAACCCAATGTTTCCTTCTGGTAAAGGAGAGAAGCAGTTAAGGCTGAGCGTGAGTGGCAGAATGACAATAGCTTTGTTAACCTGACTCTGTAGATAAGACGATCATTGCCCAAAATGCCAGCCTGTAGTTGGCTTTTTGAAATGCCCTTTTCTCATTTCACTCACCAGCTTTCTCCCTCCATTTAAATGGTAATTACATATTTATAATGCATTGCAAGTGTGTCTAGTTTTACTCAGAAACCTCTGGGAGCTCCAGATATTAGTACTTTTATAACAAGGAATACTCTTTTGGAGTTATTTCTTGCTTGGGAAGATTTTTGGTTCCATTAATTTTTTTTCTAGTTTCACTTGCAATTTTTTTCCCTTAAAACAATAGAATTTTTCCAATTAAATAAGGAGCATTGGCAAAATTGAATAATGATATTTCAGTCATGCAACTTTAAATAATACGTATATTTTAAGTAACTTTTAATTACCTTCGTAGTTGCTGCATACATGTTTTTTTGCTATTATTGTTTTCTCATCAATAGGTCTGAGTCATTTCCAGTAAAATCAGTATCCCCTGCCATTTTTGTTTTTCAAAATTATATTCTTATATTTTCTACAATCTAATGGTTAATTCTGATTCTGCATCTTTCCTTTCCCCCCTCTTCTCTCTAGGCATGGCATTTTGTTCAAGGTTCATTTTGGTATTTATATCAGTGTCTTCTTGTTTCTATAGGTGTAATATTTTGACCTTCCAAATAACTGGAATGCAATAGAACCACCAGGCAAAACCTAGTGATCTTAATTAATAATCACAAGTGAAATTAACAATCACAAGTACTAAGTTTGGATCTCTCAACATATTCCTGACCTCTGTTTATATAACCAATCATCTAATATCTGTTTATATAACCAATCATCTAATATCAATACCTTTCATCTTTCTGATGTCAAGATCATTTGTATGTAAAACTCCATCAGATTCTTGGGAGAATGAGCATTTTTTTTTACCAAATTATTTTTAATAAGTAGGACAGAGTAGTCAATATATAAAGGCAAAAATTGACAAAATATAATGCAGAAATAACATTTTTTCTATAAGTAATATAGTGATGGTTTCTGTCAAAAGGGTGCCTAAATAAAATAGAACCACATAAATGAGACCCTGTGAATAATAATAATAATAATAATAATAATGGCAATAACATTTCTCAAGAGACTGCTCCTGAAATATGACAAGTGCTGTTTTGGGGGAAGGAGTTCTGTGGTCAGGATTAAAAATTCAATCTGGAGTTTACCAGCTGTGCGATTTAGGGTAACATGGCTGAGCCTTGATTTTTCCTCATGTATATGGGAATAGTAATAACCACTTTGCAAGGAAGCTTGGGAATAATGTAAGGAAAGCTCCTGGAACATAATATGCGGCCATCAGTAAGTGGTAACTCCTGGGCAGGGGGAGGAACAAACAAGAAGCAAAAAGAGCCCAGTGTCTGAACCAGCAAGGTCCTGGGTTCTAATCTCGCCCCATCCCTTTCAGCTGCTTAATCCTAAGCAAGTTGTTTAAACACTGTTTCCCGTATGAAAGGGAAATAATGATACTATAAAAGTTGCGTGAGAATTTAAATACTGCGTGTGAAACACTTTTTATAGCGCCTTGCACATAGTCAGTACTCATAAATGATTCTGTTACTGCCCATTAGGAGCCTGTTATGTCACCGTAGGGCTGTGCGCACGTGGAAACATAAAGAACCGAATCGATACCGTAAGACACTTCAGATCTTCAAGGGAGATAAGGCCTTGAGGTGAGTATAAGTTTAGATAGTACAAAATACACTATATATACTAAGTTTCCCAGTATGGTCCACAGGTACCTGAGCGCTGAGTGCAAGTCTACAGAATTCCTATTTATAGTGATCAAGTAAGACTTCATGCAGGCAATCCTAGCAGATCAGCAGAGTTTAAAGAGCGGACAGCAATGTATCAGCAGGCAGAGATTGGAGTCGCTGAGGAAGGAAAGTCGGGAAGAGAAAGCAGAATGAGCCATGACAGCCATGAAGGTGAAAAAGCACAGATTATACATGAGCAAAATAGTAAATAAATTCTATAATATTTAAAGTGTAAAGAATGGGGAAAGTGTGGGCGTAACAGCTGACACTTATTGAGCACTTAAGTGCCTGGCGCTGTTCCAAGGCTTTACACACATTCATTCAGTTCTCATGACAACCCCATGAAATAAGCCTTAGCGTTAGCCCCACTTTGTAGATAAGGAACTGGAGCTCTCAGAGTGCCTGGAAGTGAAGTAGAAAAGAGTGCCACTTCCTCCGAACCTGGCACACAGCTTGGTGAGTAGAGCATGGGCTACACTTCTACCCCCGCTCACCCCTCAGCCCTCAGCCAGATGCCTCACACAGGACCCCTCAGTCTCCACCAGCATGTGCAGCAGTGCTGCTTAATGTCACAAAGCTGGGCAATCTGGCTTCAGAGTCTGAGCTTTTAATCACAACATGGTGTCATGAGAAAGGCACCTGGTCCTTGTTTGTGGAGAACTTTGAAATCCCCAGTGAGGAATTTGAGCTTTATTTTAAAGTTACTGGGAGACGTTGACTTTATTCTGAAGGAATGTAGAGGCATTTTTTAGCAGAGGTGGGGAATAATATAATCACATGTGTAAGGAAACATACCAGTCTTATTTAGAGGGGGCAGGGAGATGGGATGGATGGATGGTTTAGGGGAGGGAGATTCAGGCAGGAAGACAGGTTAGAAGGCGAGTGCCAGGCATTAAAGTGGGAACAGATGAAAGCCCCAATGAGGGCAGTAGTGCTGGGGATTGGGAGGAGGGGACAGACTCGAATGACGTTTTCTGATTGGAATTGGTCAGCCCTCGTGATCGTTTAGAAACAGAGAGTGAAAAGGAGGAGCTGAAAGAGAGCCCCAGGTTTCCAGCCTGGGTGATTGGAAGATGGCAGTGCTGTTGGTATAAAGCAGGAAGGGAAAAGGAGTTTTGATGACAAGGATGACGTTTTCATGTTCAGTTGGTGGTGATAGCAAGGCATGCATGTAGAAACTCCAACCAAGAATTGGGATTGTGGGTCTGGAGCTGGGAAAATGTGAACTGGAGGCTTACATGAGGGAACAGTTTACATGAAGCCATGGATGTGGGTGAGTGAGTGTGGTGTGTGCTGAGAGAAGAACAGAAGGGCAAGAATGGGTCCTTCAGCACAGCCTTAATCTCAGGTGTGGAGAGAAGTTATGGTGTCCCCCAAGATTGAGGAGTAGCTCACAGACTAAGTGACGCAGGACCCAGCCGTGCTGAGATGTAGCATAAGACTGGTCAGGAGCACCAAACGCATGACACAAGCAAATTTGCTTGCCCACACAGACCATTTTGTGAACTGCAGTAATGCTTTTAAATTATTAGGATGTTTCAGGATACTAAGGAGCTCTTTGCTGAATATTAGGCACTATGGTAGCTGAAAATAGATTGTAGCTCTCCATAGTGCCTTGAAGTGCAGGATGCATTTTCTATCCTGTGAGAAGGGCCATGCACAATAAATGTTTCATCTTCTAGGATAGAGGTTGCCTGGAGCATCATGTACAAGAGGAATCTGAGCAATGCCAGGCTCAGTGGGAGAGAGCATTGGGATCTATTAGCGATATCTACCCTCTGTGGAGGGAGTGGGGAATACTGTGTCTAGTTGGTCTTTGCCTGGTTAGATGCCTTCTAAGGTATTGTCAAAACTCTAAATTTCTATGATTATCAGAACCTGGCTTATTATACACATCAATTTCAAAAAGGGGTGTGTGTGACAAATATCTCCTCATGATTTTGTAGCCATTTTCCAGCACCAGGACTTGTACAATGAAGTTAAATGAGTAAATGAATGAAAAAAATTGTGTGTATTCAATAGTATAAATAAGGAAGAACCACCACACACCTTCAACTCAGCCTTTTCCTAATACAACTGTTAGGGTGTGTGTGTGTGTGTGTGTGTGTGTGTGTGTGTGTGTGTGTGTGTGTTTTCAGTTGTTTGGGATTTTAGGCAAATGTTCTGATGGGCACATAGTGGTACTATGTGAAGGGAATTGAAAAAAAAATGCTTTTTACTGAAAGAGGGAAAAAAGTTATTTAAATTTCTCTAGTCAAGAACTTTGATTTTAGAAAACCACAGGTAGAGAACATAAAAAGCAAATGCTGAGTTGAATTATTCACTGAGGAGAATTCATGGTAACTGTACTAAAGTTTTAGATGAGATTCTCCTCTGGTCTACGTAAATAACTTGCAAAAAGCTTTAATTTTGTAAGTTCTCGTTATAGACATTTACTGTTTTTTGTCTTGAAAAAATTGTACATAAACACTTTGGAAAATATAATTTAAATACCTCTGGAATTACTTTTAAAATAACTTTGCTTCGCAGAATTCTAGAGCTGCAGTTTTTGGTATTTCTCCTAACAAATTCACTATATGTACTGTAAGCATTTACACCAGTCATTTCATTTCTGTGTCAGAATATGAGTCCCTTGAGGGCAGGGGGGCTGTATTTTTATCACTGTACCATTGACATCACTGTGTGGCGTGCCTGGCCTCTTTCTGGTCTCCTCTGACTCCTCTTCTTGTTCACTGACATTTTCAAGAGTCAGTTTTTATTAACCCCTCTGATGAAAGTGTAAGACATGGTGCCTGCCATCAAAAAACTTAAAATCCAGTTGCTGAGGGAATAACGGCCAGAAATAGATAATGAACTAATAACAGAGAATAGATCCCAGCAGTTATCATTTTAAAACCTTGATTGTGTCTTCATTTTTTTTTTTCAGCCACAGGTAAATTTTCAGTGAAGTGCAGACAAGGACTTGCACTATTTGGGCTGAAAAAATGGGACAACATATAACAATAACTCTATTATTACTATTTCCTGTGCACACTTAGTATCTCTTTTCCCTGTATCTTTGTTCTCACTATGTTCTTTCTGATAAGGGTCTCTTGAACCATTTCCTGGGATTCATTTGTCAAAACCATAACTTTTTTCAAATCTCATTTTAAATGCCACCTTCAAACAAAATTTTCCGGACTCCCTTAAGTAGATATTATCCCTTCCCTTTGAATTTCCAGCTCTTTTTTCTTTCTCCTCTCTCCTGGTATTCATCTTAAGTTGGAAATTGTGTTTTATTCAATAGAGAGCTGTCACTTCCTGTTTGTGATACCTTGAGCACATTATTAACCTCTCTACGTCTCAGTTTCCTCATCTTAAAAAATAGGGATAAAAATATTTGCTTGTTTACATGGTTATAGTGAGACGAGATAACACGTAAAGTACTTAAACATTGCCTAGCACATAATTGACAATCAATAAACAATAGCTGTTATGGCGCACTTTACAGTTCTTGGCATATTGTAAGTATGGGTGTTGATTTGAATAATAATGATAAAATTGAGTAAGTAATGAGTTCATTTTGGTCTGATCCCTATAAGAACAAGGGGAGTTAGAAAAAGATAGATCAGGATAGGATGGACTTGACTGAATAAGCATTTATTGCACTTTTGCTTTGTGCCAGCATTTGGGATACAACATGAAGAAGACAGACAATATCAGAGGAAAAATGAGGAGATGTTGGTCAAAGGGTACAACTTCCAGTTAAAAGGTGAATACATTCTGAAGATCTAACATACAGCATAGTGATTAAAGCTAATAATACTGTATTGTGTACTTGAGAGTAGCTAAGAGAGTAGTTCTGAGATGTTCTTACCACAAAAAAGAATTGTTAATTATGTGACATAATGGAGGTGTTAGCTAATGCCATGGTGGTAATCATTTGCAATTACCAAATCAACACATTGTACATCTTAAACTTACACAATGTTATATGTCAATTATCTCTCAATAAACCTGGGATGAAAAAAGACAGACAACGATCCCAGTGTGGACACTGAAAAACGTGAGGAGCAAAGGAAAATAATTGCAAATTGTGACACTGTTGAGAAGAAAAGAAGGGACCAAAACTGGGGAAATAAAGGTGGGGAACCTACTTGAGATAAATAGGAAAGTCCTCCTTGAGGGAGTCGGGTTTAAGCAAAGACCAAGCTATGATAGTCAGCGAGGAGCAGAGTGTGTGTGGGGGTCGGGTGGGGGTAGGAACATACTAGGCGGGGGCTCGAGGCGAGACAGGTTTTGGGGTGTAAGTTCAGTGTGGCTGGAGTAAGCAGGGGTTGGGACTGGAGACCTAGGCAGGATCCGATTATGTAGGGATTTATGGGCCCTTAGAAGGAGTTTGGGTCGCACTAGACTTGACTGAGACCGTGTGATTGTCAGCTGGGCTTGAGACGATGTAAAATGTAGAGAAATATTTGGAGCAGGCATTTGAGATGCAAGAGCAAAGCCATGGGGTTGCGACTAAGAATGGTGTCAGAGCAGATAAGCGATAGTCTGTGAAGTGGCAGAGTTGCATTGGGGCATATGAGAAACAATTCTCATTTGGAGGGTATCATTCTACACAGCAGCTGCTGCCTTGCTGTCATGGACTTTGACAGGATTTTTCTCATAGCAGAGGAAAAGTCGAGCTGACGTGGTGACCTTTTGGAATAGATGGTTTCTTTTTTGCCAAGTTGAACCTTTCCTGGGAATATTTGTGCTGAGTGAGCTCTGTGACCTCCGTGTGGGGTGGGTAAATGCTATCTGTCATGAGCATTCAACTCTTTTCCTTTCATGTCAGCAGAAGGAAATAAATCATTTATGTTAGTTTGGGTAATTGAAGAAGCTTTTCATTTGCAATTTACCCTGGTGTGTGTGACTAATTTGAGTTGATAATC